ATCATGTGTCAACAGGAAGTTCACATGTGCCAAAGAATTTTTAGCAGAGGTTCGACAGGTCTGATTATCTGCAGAAACACATGGGCTAGAATATATACTTTGATTAAGGATCAGTTTCTTTTTAACAGAGTCTCAAATGTGGTGAATAAAAGTTTACTTTTAACAATAACTTCTGGCACTTAGCAGATCTGAAAATTCAGTATGGTATTTGTCATGCTGATGATAATGGTCTAATAAACAATTCTTTGTCAGAAACCGATTAACTCTGTGGGCTAGTTTTAGAAAAGTAAAACACTTTGTAGATTACGAAGCAGACATTTACAGCAACCCATTAATTTCTGAGCATGAGCAGCCTGAAAACGACTGTCAAGCAGAGTGACAACATTGCATTCACACACCACATTAAGTCTTTAAATGTGAACTCTTAAAGACAAGGTACACAGATAACAGCCAAAGAGTAATCTCTCCCAGAAAGTAATGCCAATGGGTGGCACAGTGGCTGTGTGGTTAGCATTGCTGCCTCACAGTGCCATGGCCCCAGGCTCGATTCCAGCCTTGGGTGACTGTCTGTGTGGAGCTTGTACATTCTCCCTGTGTCTGTTTCCTCCGGGTGCCCCAGTTTCTTTCCACAGTCCAAAGGTATGCGGGCCTGGTGGATTAGCCATGATAAATGGGGATAGGGTAGGGATTGGGGTGGGATGCTATTTGGAGGGTCAGTGCTGACCTGATGGCCCAAGTGGCCTCTTACCATACTGGAGGGATTCTGTGGTTCTCATGGTCTTCAGTATTGTGATTGCCAGAATATCCAAGGATTATAGATGAGTTATACAATTTATGTAATAATTTTTTATTTAAGTTGCTAACTTGTCTGGTAAATATTTAGAATTTACTTGCTAATGTATTGATGTTATTTCTCTGTCTTGCAAATTTCCTTCTACTTTACATCATCCTAGACCTTTTATAGAGGACAATTCAACCCATTGTGTCAGTGCTACCACCTCATAGGAACAGCTGCATAACGCTGCAAATATTTCCTCTTCACATAATTATCCAATTTTCTCCTGTAAACCATGATTGAATCTGCTTCCACCTCTCTCTCAGACAGCTTCTAACCATTTGTTGAGTGGTGAAAAAGTTTTCTTTATATCACAATGTAGGAGCAAATTACTGCTCCAGCGTTCTCATGATTTTCAGAAGCCCTCTTTTAAGAAGAGCAGACCAGCTTTGCCAACTGAAGTCTCCCATCCCCAGAAACATACTTGTAAATCTTTTCTTTGCCGTCTCCAAATCTTTCACGTTCTTCTTAAATGTTGGTGGCCAGACTTGATCATGGTAGTTCAGATGAGGCTGAAACTGTTTTATGAAGGCTCACCTTAGCTTTGTTACTTTGTAGCCCATGTCTCCATTTGTAAAGCACAGGATGCCATATGCCCTTATTAATCCTTTTTTCAACCTGCCCTGCCTCCTATAATGATTTGCACAGCCACACTCCCAAGTTCCTCTGTACCTTCAATCCCTTTAGATTTGTATCCTTTACCTCATATTATCTTTTGTTGTTCTTCCTACCAAAATGTCACTTCACACTTCTCTGCATTAAACTTAACCTACCAGATGCCTGCCTAAATCCAAAGACGTGCAGGTTAGGTGGATTGGCCATGTTAAATTGCCCCATAGTGTCCAAGATTGTGCAGGCTGGGTAGATTAGCCATGGTAAATGTGGGGTAGTAGGGATAGGTTGGGAGACTGGGATGCTGTTTGGAGGATCAGAACAGACTTGATGGGCCTAATGGCCTCTATCTGCACTGTAGGAATTGTATGTTTCTAAATCCACTGATTTGTTTGTAGCCTCTTGAAGTTTATCACTATCCGACTGACAGTTAACCATGTTTCCAAGTCTTGAACTTGTCTTTTGCACCCCAGTCTAGTTAATCATTTCTCCAATATTTAGTAACAATTTCATGCGCACACATAGTGATTGTGCAGGTTCTTGCAAGCAGACATCCTGACATCCTTACAATCTGGACTGATGAGGTAACCAAACATTCAGATAGGGCAATATTTTGAAATAATCTTTTTACTTCAGGTATATGGAAAGTGACGCAAATTATTAATAAATGAAACTAAGTGAATAAATCTGTAGTTTCATTCTGATATCCCGACTATGTGTTGCTTTAGATAAATACTATACTGCACACTAGTTGATACTCAACTTACAGTAAAATAAAATTTGATTTTAACGTGTATGCTGCACCTACTTAAGCACGTGTTATAATTAGTGAAAAGTAATGTTAAAGCAGTTTGTGGGTTAGAAATTGTAAGAAAAATTACCTGAAAGTGTTTTATTTTTTCATAGAATCCCCACAGTGTGGAAACAGGCCTTTCGGTCCAACAAGTCCACACCAACCTTTGGAGCACCCGACCCAGACCCATCCCCATCCCCATCCCCATCCCCATATAAACCACCTAATCTACACATCCCTGAACACTACAGGCAATTTAGCATGGCCAATCCACCTAGCCTGCACATCTTTTGGATTGTGGGAGGAAACCAGAGCACCTGGAGGAAACCCGCACAGACATGGGGAGAATGTGCAAACTCCACACAGTCGCCCAAGGGTGGAATCGAACCCGGGTCCCTGGCGCTGTGAGGCAGTAGTGCTAACCACTGAGCCACCGTGCCATTCAGAACATAATTGTTGAGCATAAATATGCAATTTATATTTGTACCACCTAGAACACTTGATACTTATTTCTTGTCTCAGATTCTGCTTCTGTAGATCCAATAGTGGTTAAGAATTACAATTCAGTCTTCCTCTGTCTGTTGTTATATTATTTGAGCAGTTAGGTAGGAATTTCCAAGGTGCTCCTTTTTCTGTTGTCTGTGCAGCAGTCAATTTTGTACCCTGACTGCATCCCCATTCCTGAAGCTAGGACCATTGGCATGGAGAAGAAAAATGACAGGGCTTGCTGGAATTAGTATGGTCATCTTCCTTCCAGGATACCAATTAATTCTCAGCGACCTCTTGTCATTCTATCTATGGAGCAAGCAATTCCAGATAAAAGAACTGTGGATAGTTTTAATTTAAGAAAAAGATACCCTTCAATTTAAGGCCATTAAACAATTCAGAATCTAGAAGTTTGAGCTCCTTTCCTCAAGGTTTTATTCTGGGCATAACGCAGGTGTACCTTTGTGGTGAGGATACCGTCAAGATTTCTGGCAGGTGACATCCTACTACGCATCCTCTTCTGACGTCAACATAAAGCATGGGTGACCACAGGAAGCCTAATTCCACTTGAGGCAGAATTTCACAATTTTAGAAAAGGGAGGAGATCTGGTAGAGCTGAGCTCCACCCCAAAAAACTCCTTCACCTATTTGGTGCGCATTGCTACATTGTTTTCCCAGACCCCAGATAGTTCGCATCCTGTAAATCCAGTGAATATTTCCTACCTATCCCACTTCATGGCATTATGCAAAAATAAAGAAAGTTTTGGATCTTGAATTGCTCAGCTTAAATTGGCTAATGAGAACCTATGGCCTTAGCACCAGTGGCTAAATGTCAAAAGTTTCTGAGTTATGTTAGCAAAAGCAACTAAAAGATTAAATTGCCAATTTGATGTAGCAGCAATCTAAATGTTGGCTACAGCTGGATGACCAAAAGGAGAAAAGTGAAGTTAAAGGATTGTATCCAGGCTGAGGACCAGTTGAGCTCTGATTTCACCTGATGTTCACTTATTAGCAATAACGCTCTTTAATGAAGGAAGGTTCCCTTGGCAACAGAATAACTTAGTCTGCATTATATGTAGGAACTAAGCTTTTGTAAAATAGTGTAAGATTCCTCATTCAGCAAAAAATGCCTTGAGATATTTTCTAACGTCACCTGAATCTCCAACCTTAGGGTCTTTGACAAACTTAAGATGAGTTCACTATTCAAATTTGAAATGAAACATAGTCATAGCAGTTGCTGATAAAATTAGAAATTTGTTCTCCTTCATTTTCTTTCTTCCAGGAGCTCCACATGGCAGTGGTAATAATAGAGATAGCATAGGCCATATGAAGCAGCATTGGTTCTGTGCTTCTTCTGACTCTTTCCATCAAACTGTAAACTCTGAACTCTTGGGTCTAATGATTGAGTCCTGTAATCCGCATTCTTGCTTCTGAAGTTAGCAGAAATATGTAAGAGGGCATTTTTTATTTATTCAAAGTATGTGGGTGTCACCAGCAAGACTGGCACTGGTTGCCTATTGCTTAATGCCCTTGAGACAATGGCAGTGTTCTACCTCCTTGAATCACTATTGGATGGGGTTGTGTGAGGAGTGTGGAAGGGCACTGGTACATCCACACTGCTGTTAGGAAGGGAGTTCCAGAATTTAGATTCAGCAACAATGAGAAAACCAATGGTATAATTCCAATCAGGATGGTGTGTGACTTGGAGGGGAACTTGCAGAGAGGTGTTCCCAAAGATCTGCTTTCGTTGTTTCTCTAGATGGTCATGATGTCGCGTGTTGAAGGAGCAAGCTTTAGTGAGTTCTTACAATGCACCTTGTAGATGGCACTTAATTCCCTCAACTAGATACATTAAAAATCGGAAGAAGGCTTTATGAGCCTAATCATTTAAATAAGCAATTATTTTTAATGGATGGTAATTGAGTCAATTAATTCCTCCAGCATTCTCCCAATCGTAATTAGCTGAGATTCCCCATAAGAAATATTCAAGTGGCTGTGAATCTACGGACAAATATTCCGAATGACTGCACTCTGCCTCTGGATATACAAATACGGAGCGCTTGCCAAATAAGAGTTCATCTTGAACGAAATAATCAAGGAAAGCACATTCCTCAGCAAGAACTAAACATCATAAACAGGTTTCAGATTACAGGCCATTCATGCACGATGCCAAATCATGCCTGTTAGCCTTAAAGAGGATTTGCAAGAACAGCATTATTGAATGTCATAGCAGTAAATTATATGTATGGCAAATGATCTGTTTCTATTTCCCAGGAAGAAAACACCGGATGAACGAGGAAAGAATCCTGAAATATCTGATTGTCATACCCGGGTTGTTGCACCAACATTCCTGTATAATATGAACTTCAAAAGAGTAGGAAAATGCATTATTATCAACAATAAGAATTTTGATGATAAAACAGGTATGGTGTCAATTTCATGACTCTCTATCTAGTGGATGCTATGCCACCCTCGTCAAACTGCATAGACTGATTTTGAACAATGACAGTAATTATTTCCATTGTTATTTGGCTCTAAGTAACTTTTTAGGCTTGTTTCCACATGGTACATTATTTGCTCCTTTCTCACTTACTATGTATCAAAGCATTTTTTTTTGGAAAAAGGAAAGATTAAACAGTGCAGATGAACAGGTTCCACTAAGTTAATATTTTGGGGCCTGCTGCTAATGTATTCAATGTATGAGCTGGAACTGACTGGATGACAGGAAAATTCGAGGTATAATGGACAGTGAAGAAGGTTTCCTCAGAGCACAACAGGACCTTGCTCAGATGAGCAAATGGGCCAAGGAATGGCAGATTAATTTTAATTTATATAAATGTGAGGTCTTACATTTTGGTCAGTCAAACCAGGGCAGGACTTAATCAGTTAATGGTAGGGCCCTGGGGAGTGCTACAGGTGCAGGTGCATATTTCCTTGAAAGTGGAGTCACAGGTAGACAGGGTGGTGAAGAAGTGGTTTGGTATGCTTACTTTCATTGGCCAGTGTATAGAAGTCGTGTTGTAGCTGTACTGGGCATTGGTGAAGCTACTTTTAGAATACTGCATTCAATTCTGGTCTCCCTGCTATAGGAAGGATGTTGTGAAACTTGAAAAGGTTCAGAAAACATTTACAAGAATGTTGCCAGAATTGGAAGATTTGAGCTATAGAGAGAGGCTGAATGGGCTGGAGGTTTTTTCCCTGGAGCGTCAGAAGCTGAGAGGTGACCTTACGGAGGTTTATAAAATCATGAGGGGCATGAATAGGGTGAATAGGCAAGGCGTAGTGGTCTCCAGAACTAGAGGGCATAGGTTTAAGGTGAGAAGGGAAACATTTAAAAGGGACCTGAGGGGCAACTTTTTCACGCAAAGGGTGGTGCGTGAATGGAACGAGCTGCCAGTGGAGGTGGGGGAGGCTGGTACAATTACAGCATTTAAAAGATATCTGGATGAGTACTTGAAAAGGAGGGGTTTAGCAAATGCTTGCAAATGGAACTAGATTTATTTAGGATATCTGGTCAGCGTGGACGAGTTGGAACAAAGTGTCTGTTTCGGTGCTCTGTAACTCTATGACTATGACTGCTTGCAGTGAACATTCAAATGAACAGACAGCAAGCAGTGGGCATGCTGCATTCATTACACAGAATAATTGACATCGCAATCCCTATGCTCTTTTCAGGACCTATCCAATTTAGCCTTGTGTGTCTCCAGAGTTATGGCCATTTCTAAAAGTTGTTTTCTGAAGCTGTGCAACTTTCTCCAAACTACAGTACCTTTAATGGCAAGAGTTAGTAAAACCAGGCACAGACTGGCAACAAGCTTTCAATTTAATGGTGTACTTTTTTGCTGACTGAAGTAACTATGGAAACGGACTATAACAGTTGTTCTGGCCTTATATTGTTTGTTCCAGAAATGAATGTACGTAATGGCACTGACATTGATGCTGGGAATCTGATGACATGTTTTAGCTCTTTGGGTTTCAACGTTGTTGTTTTAAATGATCAGACATGTTCTCAAATGGAGAAGATATTGCTTACTGGTGAGTTAATGCTTAAATCAAATGGTGTTAAAGATTACAATTTAATTAAATAGATGATGTTTACCATTTTTATAATTAGGTTTTAAGTCATTAAGTGCCTCAAGTCCAAACTACCACGTTGCTATTACAATCTATTCTAGAACTAAAAGAAGTTTTGGATTCATTGATTGAATTTTCTATGTAGACAGTGTTTGCCTTCAATAAAAATAACCATGGCTCATTTAAACTAGTGCTCATATGATGGAAGAGAAACTAAGCTGCTCCTTCACATGGTGAAATGGCAGATGTTTTCACAAACACATCAAGAGTCCAATTTGAAGACAACACTGCATATTTTTAATGCCTCTGCACTTTTCCCAAACGAAAGGAAATTACCCTGTCAAATACTTCCATCCGAAACATTGTAAATATTGATAAATTAATTTATCACTGCTGGAATACAAACACAGTTACAGAAAATTGGTATAGGATGGGGGCAAATTGGTCACCATTCAGATCACCTTTATGGAAAGTGCAGATATGTTGAATTGAGTTCGGCTGTGATGCGGAGCTGTTAACATGTACTGTCTAATCACTTGGTGAGTGGCCATTTAGTTAAAATATCTAATTGTTCGTATCTCCTACTACTATGGTTTAAAATAAACATTTTGAGAGTGTGGCACTGGTTACTATGCCGTCACTGTCTGCAAATGTCCACCATGATGGTTTCTAGAGAAGGTGGCAGTGGTCTGGACATTGTCTTTCATGAAATGAGAAGCACAAGTGGATATCATAACAAAGTTTTGATACTTCTTTTAGCACATCTGGTATATGTTGCTGGGAAAGGCCAGGATTTGTAAATACATCTGCTATTTTAATTTTTGATAATTTGACAGTCAGTATTTAATTCTATACTCATCAATATGAGCAATGACTCAGGATGATCTTTTAATTCAATGAATATATTTACTTTGGAATGCCACCGTTTTGTATTTGAATATTGTGATTTGTTTTAGTTTCTCAGGAAAACCACTCCAACAATGCATGCTTTGCATGTATCCTTTTAAGCCACGGTGATGAAGGCATGATTTATGGTACAGATGGAGCAATGCCTATAAAGAGACTCACTTCTCTCTTCCGAGGAGATATGTGCAAGACCCTTGTGGGGAAACCAAAACTTTTTTTCATTCAGGTAACATGGTTGTTCATGACTTTGCTCTGATAATATACTTTCTCATAATGTCCTCACAGATGGTCATGAAGAATTTTTTTAATCCACCTAGAAAAAGGCCAGGTTCTATTTTCCCTCTCCTGTACCTGAGGACATGGTATTTCCCAGATGGAATATGCAGACTGAAGAGGGAGAATCATTTACATTGCTGCAATGTGCAAGATTTCTAGGAACTTCCCAGGTTTTGTGATTGGCCCTGACCCTTTTAAATGAAGCAGAAATGGGCATTCCAAAACTCCTTCAATTTCCTCTGAATCTGCACATTAACTGCTCTAATTGATGAGAGCTACCCCTACAGCAGTAATAACTGCACTCCTGGGGTAATAGCAGATGTCTCTGGGGGTAATCGTTCTACATTGTTGTATAATGGATTTCTAACAATGAGAATTTTTGTTTTGCCAGCACACTGTTTCCCAGCTGAAGTGCCTTTGGTACTCGAGCTCTCTCATCCAGCACCAGTGGCAGAATGGTGAGAGTTGTGCCTATTTGCAGCAAGTCCAGAATAGGGGCTGCTAAGTGAGTGAGTGGGGGATCCTAGGGGTTTTAGGAAGAAGAGCTGATAACTGAGGACAGGGCATTGGTAAGTTGGGCTACTAACTGACTGAATGGGATGGGGAGAAAATTCATTGATATATCTCTTAGCTAGCAAATGTTCTTAAAACACATTGATCAAAAGTTTGCAATTAATTTCTTGATCATATGGTTAAAAATGTCACTGGAGTACTTCAGTTGTTTGTAAATGTTCCTGAGTACAGTGAGCACAGAAAGCTATCATGCACAGTTTACATCCAATGATCATACAACATGACTTCAAATTGTTTGTCCTTATTAGAACCTTTTTGTTTGCAACATTTTCTACTGTATAGTCATTAGTGAAGTAATTAAAAAAGGGACTACCTGTAGGGTATGCCAAGAAAATTGCTAAATCTGAACAGGGATGCGCAAATGTTTGGGAACCACTGCCCTTTACACTAAAATGTAAAACCAAAGTGTGTTTTTTAATAGTACTTTAGTGATTAAATTTAAACATTTAATTTGTTGATGAATAAAAGAGTTTTACATCAAATAAGATGAATATGACATTAGTGTCAACATAAAGAAAACTGCACAGCTTCATGTTAGGGATGTGTTGTTCTGCTAATGACATTCCTGTGATTGTACACAAGCTTTTCATTGTGAAGTAGGTGAATATTTGGTAATGATATTAATTAGGAACTTTAAAAAAGAATGAAGGTTGCATCCTTTAAAGGCGTGTTGACAAAGGTATGATTTTCATCATAGGCAGAGCAAAGCTGATAGTGAGACTCGGTTCTCTTTTCTGAGGGGATATGTGCAACAAACTTGTGAGGAAACCAGAATGATTTTTTATTTAGGTACCCATCCATGATTTTGCTCTGATTAATGGGCTTGCCAATAACATTTTTATGGGTGGACTTGAGACATTATTTAATGCATGAAGAAGCAGTTATGTTTTTAAAAGTGGATTTTTTCCCTCTCCTGTACCTGAGGAATTGATTTTTTTTCAGATGGAATATGCAGAAGTACAAGGTAGAAACAGATGCAGGTACTGCACCCTAAAGGATTTCTAGGGACTTTCCCAGGTTCTTAGGCCTTGAAGTTACATTTGACAAATATTCATGTATGAATACTTAATGCATTCTGTATAATTTTGACTACTTATAACAGCAAAAGAATTACATGTGAATACACAGGGGTAGAGTTTCTGCTTTGATATCCTGGAACAAGTCGTGGCCAAAATTTTGCCCATGTAGGAAAGTGCTTTTTGACTACTTATAACAGCAAAAGAATTACATGTGAATACACAGGGGTAGAGTTTCTGCTTTGATATCCTGGAACAAGTCGTGGCCAAAATTTTGCCCATGTAGGAAAGTGCTTTTTTCCACTCAACTTGTGTTTATCACAGATTTTAAAATTTGCCATGAATATGTACAATAAGACTGTTTTATAAAATATAAGTTTGTTAAAATTTGTTTAATGATAAACCTTAATTTATTTAAGGGAGAGAGCTTGATGCAGATTAAGAGTTATGGAGCTCTACGTTTTTTTCTGTCTTGTCCACAAATGTCACCAGACTTGCTGTCTTCCTCCAACACTTTATTTTATTAAAGGATTTAACTCAGTGTCCTGTGAGAAACCACCTGTGAGAAATCTAGTTTTTAAATGGCTGAAAATTATATTTTTAAAGAAGGTACAAAATTATTTCCTGTTTGTTTGGAATACAGTGACCCGCTCCTGAATAATTGTTTACTAAAAATATCAAAAACCTTTCAAAACATAGCTATTAGAGTCAAAAACAATATAAATGCTAGAAATCTAAAATAACTTCTTGGTAATACAGAACTTGGTTGTTGTGATCAACTGAAATTTAGCATTCTTGTGTTTTTCCTGATGAATCCACAATTAAAAGTTTCAACAATTTATCTCTTTTCAGCAATAAGTATGAAATAAAATACTCATCGGTGTCTCTCATTTCAGGTTTGCATTGAATTGAGTGGCTACAAGTTAGAATTTATTTGAATTATTTGAATTTCAATATTTATACACTGTAATTTGAAGCCTTAGTGCCTTATTCAATTATGACAGATTGCGTATATACTTGATGTAACCTCATTTTTTCTCGTTTGCTTCAGGCTTGTAGAGGTTCAGAATTTGATCAAGGAATTCAAACCGATTCTGGTTCTACCGGTGATGTAGAAACTGATGCAAATCCTCGTCACAAAATCCCAGTAGAAGCTGACTTCTTGTATGCCTATTCCACTGTACCAGGTAATGCACAGATTGCAGCCCTGGTGCGTAATTTTTCCATCAATGAATTAAATTATATTAGAGCTTTTTCTAAAATAAAAATCCTTTGCCCCATTCTTCTTGGTTTATTTTAACCTGATTTGAATTGGTGCGAAAGAGGATGTCACTGAGGGTTCAAGGACAGAATTAATTTGGCTAGAGCTAAGGAATTTAAAAAAGTGCAATGATATTGTCCAGTATAATCTATAGACCACCAACAGATTGAAAGGATGTGGAGAAACAATCTTCAGGGAATTTGATTACCCAAATATAGACTGGGTTATGGTGGTGTAAGGAAAAGCAAGGGGCAATGTTCCTAAATTTGCGTTCAGGTGAATTTCCAACAAAAGTACGTGTCCAGTCTAACAAAAAAGATGCACTGTTGGACATAGTACTTGGAAATGAGGTTGCCCAAGGGATTAAGTATCAGTGGGGAACCATTTAGGAGACAGTAATAATTGTATTGCAAGGTTTAGGATGATGGTGGATATTTGATAACAAGCAGTTCAGTTTAAGAAAGATCAGGTGGCAGAGAGCTGACTTCAAAGGCGAAAGGAAAGAGATGGATAGACTGGAATGGAAGGTCGTAATTGAGCAATGAGTTATCTTTCAAAGAGGTTATCTTTTAGATACTGTCTACGTATATTCCCACAAAAACCTGGTAGGACAAACAAGTCCAGAGCTCTTGAAACAACAAAGGCAATAGAAATTAAGATGAAGAGTAAAGTCTATTTATGACAAGTGTCAAGTAGAAATTGCAATTGAGAACCAAGAGGAATACAGAAGGTTCAGAGGGGAGGCACAAAAAACATGTTAGAGAAGCAAAGAGGAATTATGAAAAAAAACTGACAGACAACGTTGAGGGTGCCCAGAGTCTTCTACAGCCATATAAATAGTAAAAGGGTAGTAAGAGGAGAAGTAAGGCCGATTTAAAGAAACTGTCTTTACAAAAACCAACTCGCAACAACCCAAGCCTTTAGCCAAATACTTTTTAATTTGTGAAATATAAAAAGATAGGACATGTAATATTCCAGATGAGCTTCAGTCTGCTGACCTGGTACATGTAGCTAGGACACCAAACACGTACAGTTGTCATTGGGATCTTCTCCAAAAGCAGTTCGATCAGGAGATTTAGAGAAGAATTCATCCAGGAGCTTCTCAGGAGATTTATTATCTTTTTATTTTTCAGCTCTCACATTGAGTTATCAAGAGCTTTTCACAGAAAGGTGAAAAGGGATGTGTTTCTCAGCAGGCTAATCACACCAACTGAACTCCAAGTAATACCCCAAAAACTCAACACCTAACCGACATAAAGCCAGACATGTAACTTCCAGTAAACAAGGCTATGAGACCTTGACTGTTTTCTCAGCTTAAGAGATACTTCCAGCAAGTATTTTTTTTTCTTTTTTTTGACAAAAATATCCGAAGTGATCTGCCGGAAACCTTTCCAAAAAAAAAGTCTAGACATCTCCTCCATTTTCAAAGTGACCCAAGGTTCTCAATCTTTTAACCATAGGTTTCCAAATGTATTAGTAATGGGAGCACCTTCACAATAATATGCACACAAATTTGGTCAGTTTACTGAAGAACATTTTGAAGATGAATGGTTTATGATGAATGGTTAAGGGTAGAACAGATTGGAGAGTGTAAAACTAAGGGACAAATTACAAAGCCTGTTCATATAATTTGAATGATTTTCTCCTCGGTTATAAAGACTGTATATTTTCACTTTTACGTATTCTAGATTAGAAATTAAAATGGGAAAAAGACTCTTAACAACCAAGGATTGTAGAAAGAATTATTGCACTTCCTGAAAGCAAATTGTCTAACACTTATTGCAGGTGCTGTTTATACAGCTGTTTGTTCAAGCAATAGGGTTGATTATTACACATGAGCTAGGGCCAAGTGGTGTGTATGAGTGGAGTTTCAGCTGGCAACAAGTAGCTGATTAGTGTGTGGAATAGTGACCAGTCATCAATGATAAAGGCCTTCTGCTTGCCAGCAGGCTATGTGATTAGTTCCCAGGTTACATAGTAGCCTGTTGGTGTGAATATTAGTCCAGAAACCATCGGATCTCCGAAAAGGAAGGAGCTACCCTTTTCTGTGCGGTAATGAACATTTCAAGCGTGAAGAAAGCCCATTTATTTCCCTTGTCAGTTTCTGTAAGATGTGGCCTTAACCAATAAGTCGGAGATGTTGTTGTGCATACCAGTCACCCTGTGCCTCCCACAAGCAAGTGAAAGTACATGGAAACCAAAAGGACTGCGGATGCTGTAAATCAGGAACAAAAACAAAGTTGCTGGAAAAGCTCAGCAGATCTGGCAGCATCTGTGAAGTAGAAAACAGAGTTAACGATTCGGGTCAGGTTCTGAGGAAGGGTCACCAGACCAGAAACGTTAACTCTGTTTTCTCCTCCACAGATGCTGCCAGACCTGCTGAGCTTTTCCAGCAACTTTGTGAAAGTACATGGAGTTGAAAGATCAAGAGACAGCAAGTCCACCCAAGCCAGCAGGGTCATCTCAGCCAGCCCTGGGGACAGGGACCATTGAACTGTCATCTCAGTCTTTTCCTCTGCCCAGAACACCCATTTTTCTTTGTCTGCCTGCATGTGTTTAGAGGAATTTTAATGAGTAATGTCAAAGTCCATAATTGCATCTCTGTAGATACAACCTATTTATTTGTAATAACAGTAATGTTTGTTAAATACAGAAACCTGCTTTCTGTTGACTTGGGCCTAAAAGACAGGTAAATTTTATAAAATGTTTAATTTTTGTGATGACTCCCAGAATAGCAGAGCATGATTTCCAGTGTGCTGCTCTATTGAGGCATAATCATGTGTACATAATTTTAAAAAAAGAACAAAAATTTGGGACTTCTAATTATCCAACAAAAACAATGTTAAACCTAAGTAAAATGCTTGAGGTTAGTTATTTATATGGTTACAGTAAAAACTTGTTTTATTAATTGAAGATTCAAGATGTAAGTCCTAACTATTGTGCCCGAGCTCAACACATGCTTAACATTTCAAATGTCTGTCATTGCAGGCTATTACTCATGGAGGAATCCAGGCAAGGGTTCTTGGTTTGCACAGGCCCTATGCAATGCCTTCACAGAATATGGTAAAGAATTTGAGATCATGCAGATCCTGACCAGAGTCAACTACATGGTGGCCATGCATTTTGAGTCTTGGTCTGAAGATCCACGGTTCAGTGAGAAGAAGCAGATACCCTGCATTGTCTCCATGCTGACTAAAGAACTTTACTTTAAAAAGAAATAAAGCACAACATCCTCAGTTCACAGTTCAGGGAAGTTTTGATTTGTAAGGTTTAAGTTGCTGTTTAGATCAAACTTTTGAGTGGAGTTTTCAAAATGAGCTGAAGCAAAATGCAGCATTCAGGAAAACCATTTGCTATCAGTGAGTGACCAGTTACCTTTTGTGTTTCATACTCTGGAGCATGACAAAAAAAAAGGTAATGAACTATCCACTCTTTTGTTGTGTGGATCAGTAGACAGTGCAGCTTATAAATGGCTATACTGTACATCTGCAAAATGCAAAGCATGGCTGACATGGATTCATGTCTCAAATTTGATATGACTTCTCGTTTAAGTTATTATTTAAAGCATTGTTTTTACAACCTCAGCAGGGTAAATTCCATGTGGTTTGGATGATGAACTAAGAGTTTTAAACTTGGAGAAAGACGTTCGTCAAATACACTTGGTTTATGCTTCTCAACATAGTTTTGAGACAGGGTGTTTTTTAAAAAAGTACTTCTTATGTAGCTCTACGATGTTCACATTTTTTTCAGGCAATACAGTATTTTTCAGTTTTGTTTTCTTCTCACCAAAAAACATTAAAATCCATTCTCTACAATAAGCAAAGAATACAGTTCCCTTACAATGTATTGATGTACCAACGTTGATGTATTTTTTAAACTTATTTTGTCGAACTCTTGCACCTGGGGCCAATTGCATGACTTTTAGGAAATAGTCATTATTTTTAAATGAACATGCTTTTCACTGAGTTTGAACACATTTTAATCAGTTTTCCTGTATTTCACAACATGTTGATAAACATTGAAAATGGAATTGAATTAGAACCTGATTTTAACAACACTTAGTTTATTATTTCATGAACCTGTTGGTTTCCTTTTGGACAGTGAATACTTGCATGCGTTTACTGTTCTATGTAGTGTTCCCCTTGGTGAACACCAAAGCAGACTAACTACTCTTTTATCACTTGGTTACTGATTGTATACTTGTAGTGTAGATTGTTAGCTCACATAAGTCTATTCACTTCAGAAATAATGACTTATGTAAAGAGTTTTGAGTTATTTGATAAACATTAATAGCTAGAAAATGTGTGACAGGAAATAATAAACTTATCCAATTTAATGGCAACTATTACCTAAAAATATCAAGGCTATATTTCCCAGCTGTATGTATTTAATGCTCAGAGTAACTAACCCTGTAATCGTGACCTGAAGACCTGACCACTTGAAACTCAATGAATAATTTCAATCTGCCAGATCAAAGCTGTGAGTGCCGTTAATATAGAACCTGATTGCCACAATCTGAGTGTACAGCTGCTAATGCTCAGCAATAATCTTGCTTGAAAATCTCATTAAGGGAACCCATTTTCCTCAACATTCCATGTTGTTACTGAGAGAATGGGAATATTATAGAAACTTAATTAGTGGCAGTGTAATTTCAAGTTCCCTTGTGGTTCTGGCATTAATATTTCTTAGTCATCCAGCAAAAGTAGCCTAAATTGTCAGGTTAAACAAAAGTATTAGCCATGCACTGAATCTCGAAGTATGCTTGATTTGCATTTGTCAGTATTTGCTCTTTTTAAAAAGTTATCATTTGTCATTAGGGATTTTTTAGAATTATAGCTAGCACAAAGATGTAAATCGTGTACACTTTAGATTTGTGATTTCACAGAATTGTTTCAGCGCAGAAAGAGGTCATTCAGCCCAATTTCATAGAATCATAGGATCCCTATAGTGTGGAAGCAGGCCATTCGCCCATCAAGTCCACGCTGACCCTCTGAAGCGCATCTCACCAGACCCACCCCCATACTGTATTCCTCGAGCTCTGCATTTCCCTTGACCAGTCCACAGAGCCTGCATGTCCCTGAATATTATGGGCAATTTAGCATGACCAATCCACCTAACCTACATATCTTTGGACTGAGTAAGTAATTTCTTCTAAGTCATAGAAATTTCTTAGTAGAAATTACTTACTTAGTTCAAAGATGTGCAGGGTAGGTGGATTGCCCATGCTAAATTGCCCATTGAGTCCAGGAATGTTCAGGCTATTACTAAGTGCCAAATTCACTTGCAAATATGATGTCTGGAGCCTCATTTTGCAACCTGAGATTGTAATCGACCAGCTTTATGATCACAAAATGTAAAGTTTGTTGGCTTTGTCTAAAATTCATAATTTGGTATGATTTCAATATTCAAAATAGCAGCCCCCTTTGTCGAGGCACAACGGAAGCCTTCTTTCATTAAGTGTGTAGTAAGGAAATTGCGGCACTGAATACAGGGTAGTTCTGTTCTCGTGCAATCTCGCCTTATAAGAAAATCGTACAATAGCCGTACCATTTAAACTAATGGGGCCAGAATTGCATTATAGCCAACACAGATAAGGAAAGTTTGTGTTCTACAAATAGTGGTCTAAATTTTTCAATCGTTTTAAAGCCAGTTCATGTTGAAGAAACACGTGTTATAGCAGAACTGACTGTATCCCGTTAAGAAAAGTGAGTCTAATTTTTACATGTGACAAGCACCTTTCACTTCACCCCCTAATGCTCCAGTTGAGGTGAATCACATACCCTTATTGGGATAAGGGAGGCTTAATTTTTATTTTAAGTACCTCAAGCAAAACCATAGCTTGAACATAGAGGGATTTATACATCTTACCCTGCAACATTGTTCCCTACTGTCTTCAGATTCTCTGCAGGCATGAACCAGAGGGCAGAGTGGAGTAGTCTGGGAATGCCCTCAAAAATGTTCAGAATGATTTCTGAGAAATACCAGAGAAGAGAAAGATTTCACAGAATGATACAGCATCGAAGAAAGCCATTCAGCCACTTGAGCCAGTGCTGGCACTTTGACTGAACTGTTCAATGAATCCATCCCCTGGCACTTTCTTCACAGGTCCATAATCTTTTATGTTAGACTTTTTTTGGAAACATTATTATTGAATTCATTGTTGATCGCAACAATTCAGTGTATTGTCTTTTCCTTGCATCACCTCTACTTTCCCCCGTTACTTTAGATCTGCATTCTCTGATTACTGAACTTTCTGCAAACAGTTTTCTAAGTTCCATCAGAGCCCTCCAAGAACCTGAACAAATCTTCCTTTAACCTTTGCTTAAGGATACTATCCCTAGATTCTCTGGCTTGTTCTTCATCTCCAAGAACAGATTGAGATTATTGAAGGGCAAATGAAATGAAAATCCAGGTTCCACTCATGTTCCCTCCCCTCAAGAGACTATCTGCCCAACTTATGCTCTCTCCCATCCCTAGAATTTTAGGCCCATGACATACAGAAGCTCCATAACATGACTATGTTAGAAACAACCAACATAAAACTCTTATTCAAAAGGGGAAGGAGACAGTTAGTTTAACATCCACTGTTGGGAATTTATTTGAGTCTATAATAGTGTATGTAATAGCGGAGCATTCAGAAATAAATAATGAAATCAAACAGGGGCAGCATAGCTTCGTAAAGGGAAAATTTACCCAAAAGGTATACAAGAATTCTTTTGTCTATCCTGCTTGTTACCTCCTCAAGGGTAAACAGTGTATTTGTTCATCCAGCTCTACACCTTGTTATCTCAGATTCTTCAGCATCTGCAGTTCCTACTATCTATGTAATAATATATTTGGATTTCCAGAAGGTGTTTGATTAGTTAAGACCCTATGGTATTGGGGGTGGTATATTTGCATGAATAGAGAATTGGCTAACTAGTAGAAAACAAATCGGGATAAGGAGGGGGAGGGGTTTTCAAGATTGCACCCTATGACTAATGGAATAGTTCTGTGGCCATAGTTATTTACAATATATATTAAAGATTTGGATAAGGGAAGCGAACATACTGTCACCAAGTTTGTGGAGACACAAGAATAGGTTGGAAGGTAAGTGGTGAAGACGACACTGAGATTGAGACAAGTTAAGAAAATGGGTAAGAAAACTTGGCAGATGGAATATAATGTTGAAAAAAGTGAGGTTATGCACTTTGGCAGAAGTAACAGATGAGATGAATATTATTTAAATGGAGAAAATCAGTAGAAGGTTTCAACACAGAGGGATTTGGGAGTCCTTGTCCATAATCACAAAGAAGTTAGCATCCAAGTTCAGCAGGTAATACAGAAGGCAAATGGAGTGTTAGCCCTTTATTTCAATGGGAATAGAGTACAAAATAAGATATCTTTGCTAAAGCTGTACAGGGGAAAAGTTGGACAAACACCTGGAATGGTCTGAATAATTTTAGTCTCCATTTTTCAGGAAAGATGTACTGATATTGGAGGCAGACTTGAGAAGGTTCACTCAGTTCATCCTGGATATGGAGAGATTTTCTTCTGAAGAATGATTGAGTAGGTTGTGTCTATACTCATTGAAGTCCAGAAGAGTGAGAGATGACCTTTACGAAATATGAACAAATTGAAACAAAAATTATTAGGAGGTTCGATGTGGAGAAGTTATTTCAACTTGTGGGAGAGCTGAGGACCACGGAGACATAATCTCAGAATAAGGTCTGTCCAAGCTCAGCAGGTGTGGCATTATGTGTGAAGAAAAAAATCAGAGTTAACGTTTCGCATCTGGTGACCCTTCCTCAGAACTTAGAATTCTTTACCACAGAGAGCTATTGAAGCTGGGTTGTTAAGTGTATTCAAAGTTAAGAGAGACAGATTTTTAATCAGTAAGGGAATCGTGTGTTATGGGGAAAGGCAGGAAAGTGAAATTGAGGATTATCAAATCAGTCATGAATGATGGAGCAGATGTAAACCCCAGGAGTTTTAGGACAGGAAAGGATCCTAAGCCCAGGGAGAGGGTAGGTTTTGAAGTAAAGGTGGCTCATAATGGGAGGGTAACATCTTATGGGTGGGGGAGTATTGTCCCTGATATGTGCAGGTCATCTCCAGAATGAACTACTGCTCCTTCCTTCCCAGCCTCCTTCAGCTAGGCCCTAAAATAGAGACTGCCCACTCTCTGCTGTTTGCCCGCACACCAGCCATGTTATGACATGGGCAGTGTTTTATTAGAACATAGAACATTACAGCGCAGTACAGGCCCTTCGGCCCTCGATGTTGCGCCGACCTGTGAAACCAATCTGAAGCCCATCTAACCTAAACTATTCCATTATCATCCATATGTTTATTGTGTTAAAGTACTCGTTGACAAGCCTAACTTATCTTTAATTATTCACTTAAATATGGCTGCCAGTTTCGGTATGCACCCACCTTGTATTTTATGGAGGTCAGCTTGGTTTGAAGGGGAAGCTTGCAGTCTGGCAGCCTGACAAGTTTTATCTGCTCCCCACCCCCACCCCACAGGCTTAAATCACACCCAGCAGAGGTACATTAGATCCAGCCCATTGGTTGGAAGTGTTTTTGTATTGTAGTGATGGTGGCTGGTGGCAGGTAGTTCAGTTGGAAAATAGGCTGAAGAGACAACTGGTTTTATCAACAGTTTCTAACCACTTTGCCTCATCAGACTGAGGACATTGTCATGTGTGTTAATGGGACAGTAGTAACAACAATGTGTAATGGCCATTAAACCCATAAGCTTTATTTACATTAGATGAAAATCTGTAATTATGAACTTGTACAAGACTCTTGTTAGATCTCAGCTGAAGTATTCATAGAATCTCTACAGTGTGGAAACAGGCCATTTGGCCCAACAAGTTCACACCCACTCTCTGATGAGCATCCCACCCAGACTCACCCCACTATCCTATCCCTGTATTTCCCATGGCTAATTCATATAAGCTGTACATCCCTGGACACTACGGGCAATTTAGCCTGGCCAATGCACCCAGCCTGCACATCTTTGGACTGTGGGAGGAAACGGGAGCACCCGGAGGAAACCCACGCAGACACGGGGAGAATGTGCAAACTCCACACAGACCGTTGCCCAAGGTTGGAATTGAACCTGGTCCCTAGCTCTGTATATAATTGTGGGCACCACATTATAGGAAGGATGTGGAGCACAGTGGAGACAGTACAGGAGCAATTTACAAAAAAATGGTTCCAAGGATGAGAAACTTCAGTTTGGAGGATCAATTAAGAAATTGGGACTGTTCTCCTTTGAGAACAGAAAGTTAAGAGATTTAGAGATTTTCAAATTCACGAATGGTCTGAACAGAGTAGATGGGGAGAAACTGTTCCATCTTGTAAATGGAACAAGAACAAGAGGGCATAAAATTAAAATAATTTGCAAAGAAGCAAATATGATGTGGGGGGAAGAAATCACTCAATGAGTAATGAGTAGTTAGCATATGGAATGCACTGCCTGGAAGGGTGTTAGAGACAGGTTCAGTTGAGGGTAATGGATGATTATTTGGATAGAAATCATGTGCAAGGGTAAGGGGGAGAAAGCATGATATAGGCACGAGGTAATGATGCTTATTTGAAGAACCTGTAAAGGTGTGATAGGCTAAATGGCCTCTTTCTGTAATGTAAGACATTTATGATTCTGAGTTAAAGGGCAGATGGAAATATATTTCTCAGAATCTATACTGCTGTGTTCATACCATAAAAAGCCCAAGGCTGCAGACCCAGTCTCATTGTGGGCCTATGTTTTTCAATCAACTGGTAACATTACAGCTTAAAGAATCTCAGTCCCGACAACTATTGTTCTTTACATGCAGAGCTCCAACTACAGTACAGTGAGCCATAATTAGTCTTTCATTATAATTGAATGGTGCATCAATGTCCAAAAGCTGAGATTGCTCAATCCAGCTGAAAGGATGCATTATACACTCTCCTATTTAACAAGTATTGCATAGAAAGGAATTCCGATACTTTAAACATGTGAAAGAGTGCTGGATACTCAATAGTTTTGTGCTCCTCAATGAATGGGTCCTTTGTAAGATCACTGTCTGACGTTTTGAAAGATATTTTGACTAATAAAACTATTTGGCAATCTGTGATTAGTCAG